CTCCGGAGGAAGGAGGACCATTGAGGTGGCTACTGTGTTGGCCCAGTAGAAATTGACAGTATTTTGTATATATGTGCCCATTTTTCTTTTTTTTTAAAAAAGAACGCTCTTGTGGTCCCCTAGTGTCTCTAGGATTTGTGTCACTTTGCTTCAGTGACAGCCCTCCCACCCTGCCTGGCTCTGCTGGCCCTGCTGAACCTCCCCCAGGCTCTCCTGTTGCTCTGCCATGGAGCAAGTTCAGCTCTCTGTCCATTCTGCTGGGTGACAAGGTTTTGTAGTTCCTGTTTCTCTGGGCTTAACTCAAGGCTGCAAAGTTCTTTTTCGTCCCTGAAAGCTGGCAGCTTTTGTTACAGAACGTTATCAGGGTGAGAACAGGGGCTGAGGCCTCTGCCACTGGCTGCCCCTTTAATCCAGTGGCTGCTATTTCTTAAGACAGGCTAAGCATTTCTTATCTGGAATGCTTGGGACAGGAGTGTTACGGATTTTAGATTTTTTCAGACTTGGAATATTTGCATATATACATAACGAAGTATCTTGGTAGATCCCATGTCTAAACATGAAGTTCATTCATGTTTTATATATACCTTATACATGTATCCTGAAGGTAACTCTATACAGTATTTTAATTTTATACATGAAACAAAGTTTTGACTGTGCTCAGGTGTGGGATTTTCTACTTGTGGTGTCATGTTGGTACTCTAAATTTTGGGGCTGGGCATAGTGGCTCACGGCTGTAATCTCAGCACTTTGGGAGGCCAAGGTGAGTGAGTGGATCACTTAAGGTCAGGAGTTCGAGACCAGCCTGGCAAATATAGTGAAGCCCTATCTTTACTAAAAATACCAAAATTAGCCGGGCGTGGTGGCGGGTGCCTGTAATCCCAGCTACTCTGGAGGCTGAGGCAGGAGAATCGCTTGAGCCCAGGAGGCAGAGGTTGCAGTGAGCCAAGATCACACCATTGCCCTCCAACCTGGATGACAGAGGGAGACTCCATCTCAAAAAAAAAAACTTTTGGGTTCTGGAGGATTTTGGATCTTTTGGGTTAGGGATGCTCGACCTGTACCTCTTTCATTTGGCGGCTCCTCTCCTTCCTCCACTGAACATACTTGTGGAAAGGTGACAGCTACCTGCACCACCTGCTGATGAATGGTGAGAAGATTCAGAGCAATAGGGCCAAGTTGCTGGTGGGCACCTGGGGTTCGGGCCAGCCCAACTGTGACTGAACCCACCTGTGGCTGAGCTGAGCATCAACCAGCTGTGTCCACACCCGGCCTGAGGCCTTCCCTCTCCCCCCTGGCTGGGGTGGGACCTTGAAGAGGCAGATCCTTCCATTAGGTGAGGAGCAACAAGAGACCTGTTCCCCTTCTCCCTCTTGCTTTTCACAGCTGAAGCGGAGCTTATGGGAGTCACTATTAGAGTGAAGGGCCTGGGCTTTGGCCTTCGGTGCCTGGCAGGGGTGACCTTATCACTGAGATGGGGAAGCAGCTGCCATGAGTCATTTTAGTCTCTGAGCTCCAGCCCAGTTCTGGAGCCACAAGGCTGGAGTAGGGATACTCCTGGTTACCTGCTTTAGGAAAAGCATAAAATAAATTGGCATTAAAGTCTTGGCTCTGTTCTGGGAGTTGAGGGAAAAGCAGGGAGGTATTTAAGTGGCTTGATTGAAACACCAGAGACAGTAGTAAGTAGTTATTTACTGATTTTTACCCATTTCTACCCTGGTAATCCTCCCTTACAAATGAAGAAAACCAAGATTTCTTCATCTATTATTTTTCCCCATCTTCTGTATTGAAACAGTGGCTTATCTCACGCAGTGACTCTGTAGGACATTTAGAAAGGTGATCATGGGTTTCATTGGAGTAAGAATGTATTAATGTTTCCTCTCTTCATCTCAAAGTTTCTGTCTTATTACCTTTTCTTTCCTCTTAATACCATCTCTACAGTTTGCTTACATGCTTTAAGGATCACAGAGACACAAAGAACATTTGAACCTAGCGCTCCTCTCATGCCACCTCCTCCTCCCCCCGGGGGAGCGCTCGTCCTCAAATAAAGCATGTTGGAACTTCAGCTTCTCTCTCCTTCCACAGACCTGCTTGGCGCCTGCCCAAGAACCCAAGCAAGATTCCTCCATTGTCTTGGTTGAGGGCGGCATACAAGAAACCTCTTTGTCAGTCCCAGCCTCAGTTTCCAGCCAAGGTGTTGGCCCTCAGCTCTGGGGAGGGCTGTACGGAGGGCCTGGTGGCAGGTGCACTCCCCACTTCCTCCCTCTCTTCAGATACCTGCTGGTATTTGCCTTTTCTGCTTCATGGCCTCTGACAGGACTTGGCTGTGTTCTGGGAGTTGAGAGCAAGTATTTGAATGGAGAGGGCCTCATAGCCAGTCCCCATTCAAATGCTTTAGGAGTTCAACATAATGTTTTGAAATATGTATACATTGTGGAATACAAAGCAGAATGATTATATCTAGCTAACTGACATGCATTACCTCATATGATAACATTTTAGCTGTCAGTTAAAAAAAAATTCCCCAATCCCCCAAATGCTTTGGGTGCTGACTCCAATCTGTGCAAATCACACAGTTTGGATTCCTGACCCCTGCCTGGGGCAGGGAGCATCTCTCCCTTCAGATAGCTCTTTATGTACACTTGTTTCCTGCTCTTCTGGACTCATTTTCAGCAGGCTATGGAAAGAGGTTTTAAGGAGAGAAATGAAATGTGCAAGGGGTGGTTCCGTTAAAGAAAAACTTAGTGATATTCGTTAAAGCACAGTAAAGACCACCATCTCCATAGGTATAGGGACCACTGCAATGGGGTCTTGCATGGGGGAGAGAGATTGGGCTCAACTCTGAATACAGGGTGCACAGTGGGAATTCATAGTCAAGAAGCAGGGTGGTGGTTGGGGTCTGTGAGTAGAAAATTACTAAGAGGAGCCATCAGGGTAAGAGGGATTCTGGTGAAACTGACCTAACAGGACTGTTGCTTAAGACAGGCCAGGGAAATAGACCACTCCGGGATGGTGGAGGGTGAGGAGCCTGATAAGGCTTGGAGGGTGATCAGATATCCAAGGGGAAAGGGGTTTTGCTAAGACTGGATTTTACAAGGAAGCGCACAGACGGGCCTCGCAGAACACTCAGAAGCCTGACTGAAGCTTGCACCTTTAGCCTGTCAGTTATTCTAATTATTGCCAAGGATTTTTTTCCCCCGAAAGTGACAAGGCACAATAGCCAAGTATTTTATGTTCCTTTATTCACAAGGAAACGATGCTTCTCCACCCTAGCCCGTGAGACCTGGGCTTGTTGGGGCTCAGCGGGTGAGAGCCGGGACCCTGGATATAAGTGACCCTAACCCCTCACGGCTGCGGCGCCAGTCCCACGCGAGACTGCCCTCCCCGCGCGAGACACGCACCCCAGCTGCGGCGGTTCGGTTGTGACCTAAAGGCACTGGGGCCGCCCCTTCAGCCTTGCTATCTGGACTCCGTCCCTCGCGACCCGGGGCTGATGGCGGAGATCCAGCCCCACGGGTGTCCTTGCGGCGGGGGAGCAGCTCAGGGGAGGGAGCGAGGTCTCCGAGCTCGCTGCGCCCGGGTGTGGGCGGCACCCATTCTAGTCGCCTATTTGTTGCGGATCACGTTTCAGATAGCTGTCCCGAGTTCCCATTTGGGGGCAGATCCTCCTGCCCCCCACTTATTGGATACGGAGTCTCGCTCTGTTGCCAGGCTGGAGTGTAGTGGCGCGATCTCGGCTCACCACAACCTCCGCCTCCCGCGTTCAAGTGATTCTCCTGCCTCAGCCTCCCGAGTAGCTGGGATTACAGGCTTGCGCCACCAGTCCCAGCTAATTTTTGTATTTTTAGTAGAGATGGGGGTTTCACCATGTTGGCTAGGATGGTCTCGATCTCTCGGCCTCGTGATCCGCCCGCCTTGGCCTCCCAAAGTGCTGGAATTACGGGTGTGAGCCACTGCGCCAGATCTTATCAGATCAACCTTGTAACCTCAAAACGCCGCAGGGGAAGGCCTCACAGCGGGGATTTCCAGTCCGGGCTCAGGCCTCCTTTGCACTGCGTCAAGCCAGGAGTGTGGTTTTTAACAAAAACTCAGCGCCGGCGCCACGTGACCGCGGCGGAGCCCAGCGTCCTGCGCGCGAACAGAGGAGACCCCCTGGGGCCGCCACCCGAATAGTAAGCGCTAGGAAGGACTCCTCACTTCTAAGATAACAAACAGAGGCCGGGCTCCCATCCTCCTCCTGTACGCGAGGACTGCCTGATCCAGCAGGGGGCGCTCGACCTGGTTTGAGGGAATTCCCGGCGGGGCTTTCAAAAACGCTCCCTTTTCCCTTCCGCTAACTTCAGGGGCCGGGAATGGACACTTTCACTTTCCTCGGGTCGGGCCGCGCCGCCTAGTTGGCGTTCACAGCGCGCAGGAAACTGGGTGCCGGCCGGGTACACAAGCATGGCCAGGGTGAGGCACCCCCAGACCTCCCAGTGAGCCAGCGGCCGGGAGCCGGAAGTGCCCCGGGAGCTGGGACTGCGAGGGCGCCGGGAGCGCGCCAGGACCGGAAATCACCGGGGCTCGGGAGCGCGCGGGGCCCGGAAGACGCGGGCGGCCGGAGGTCCGCGGAGTTCGGGCGCCGGGCAGGACGGCGAGGCTTTAAGTTCCGGGTGGGGTGCGGGTCCCATAAACGTCCGGAATTTGTCTCCGGGCTCCGCTCTGGAAGCTACGAAGGGGCACGAGAGCCGGAGCAGGGGACCCTGAGAGCAGGGAAACCAGTAGCCAGGTCGGAGGAGCGCGCAGCAGGTCGGCGCCGCCAGCGCGGGGACCGGCCCGGAGAGCGAGGGCGGGCTGTGAATGGGCGGTGCATCGCGTTCCCGCGGGTCCCGGTTCCGCTCAGGCAGGGAGCGGCTGGGATGGGTCGGTCTGAGGTCGGTCCACGAGCGCGGAGCCCGGGTGCCCCAGCTTCTGGAAGGTGCTGCGGCCGGCCCTTCGGGGGATAAGCAGGGCGGGGAGGTACGGGGTTTGGAGGCTTCAGGACCTGGCTGTGAATCCAGCCAGCTGGTTTCAAACTTTCCTGTGATCTTCTGCAAGTTAACTAAGTCTCAGTTCCTTGTTTGCGAAGTGTACTTAATATGCACCCCAGGGTGAAACAAATTTGTCTGCATAGACTGCAGCACTGTGGGCTTGGGAGGCGCCTTAGTGGGTAGGAGTCACTAGTATCACTGTCTGACTTTTGACAGAAATTAAGGTGCATTGGCAAAGGTGTGCCCCGTGGCCAGACAGGTTGGGAGGAGGGCCTGCTAATATTTTTTCTTAAATTGTAAACAGCCATATGGATGAGCAGTATATTATCAAATTATGATTCGGAGAGGACTATCGCTGACTACCGTTTTCTGGGCAAACCTCTGCTTCAGGAGCTTCTGGCTTGATTCTTAAGTGGAAGGTAGAGACCTAGGCACTCTGAGTCAACTCCTCTCTGGTTGAGGACTGAGCTTCGGGATTGCAGAGTGGAGGCAGAACAGTTGGGATAGGGAAAAGAGAGGCCAAACTAGATCTGAGGCTGCCGTGGGCCAGGGGCCTCAGGGTCTACCTACTGGCACAGTGATGCCCCCTGGCTCCTATTGCTGGTTCAAGTTTGACCAATCAGAAGTCTCTTTAGCTTAAGGGCGGGGTGTTGGCCAATGAGACCTTACTGTGAAATAAAATGGCTTCAGTTTATTGTAACTCAGTCATCATAGAGGAATGGAGAAATCTGGAGCAGGGCAGATGAAAGGCCATTAAGGGGTATTTTAGGGATCGGATGGGCTGGGCACCGCGAGGACAGTGGCATTTGGCGTGGTAATGAGAAGGAACATTAGAGGCCTCCGCCTCCTTCCTTTCCTCCTGTGCCGAGTCAGCACAGATGCTGCAGGGAGGTATCTCTGGTTGGCTGTGGCTGCCTTTGGGGGCACCAGCTTTGGGGAGGTCAGAGGGCTCTCGAGCTGCCGTTCTGCCCGCAATCACACCTGCTTGATGCCTGTGAATGGCCTTCTGAATCTCCTGGGCCCTGCTCACCTCTTGGTCACTTCTGGCCTACCCTGCACTGACGAGTAACTGCCTGATGACTGGAGGTATTCTAGCTTATTGGAATTCACTGGCCTTTATTGTTTTTTGTAGGAATCAAAGATCAACTCCCACTGAGGATAAATGGACGTGTAATTCTGGGTGTGACTAGAGAGTGAGATTTGCCTTCCTGAATTAAAAAGCAGGTCATTAAGCTTGGGCCCTGACACTTCTTTATGAGAAGGTACAGAGATGGAAACCTTACAACCTGAGACTAAAAAGAGGGTCCTTCCCTCATGGCTGACAGCCCAGGTGGCTGCAAAGAATGTGGCACCAGTGAAGGCCCCCAAGAGGAGGAGAATGGCAGCAGTGCCGATGGCAGCAGCAAGGTGCGACAGCCCTGGTCAGAGGACTCCTGCAAAACGCGAGTGGAGCAGGGGCCCCCACGGTCTGGGCCGGGTCTTCCAGTTGAGGCAGAACAGCAAGATGGGTGGGTGTTTCAGTCTGATCATCTCCTGAGATCTTAGGTGGATGGGCTGCCAGCAGGAGGCAAAGCGGGTTGACCCTTGAGGACGCCCTCACTTCTGTCTCCGCACTGGTGAGTGCTCTGCTGTCAGCACACACACGGTCGCTTCTCCATGTCAGCCAGACCCTGATGCCAGTTGTCCAAAATGCTAGTCTCTTCTTTTGCAACAAACATGGTTACATTAGATGGGTAAGATCAGGGGTAGGGTCTGGTCTCCTGAGTGGTGCCTGCTCTTCCTGTGAACAGACCTTCAGGGATGGACAGATGAGCAGCAGCTTCAGGGCCAGCAAGAGATCAGTAGCTGGGGAGTGAGTTAGTTGAAGGATGGTAATTGCTGGAGGGGAGTGTCTCCAGGCTGCAGCATCAAGTGTGCTCTCCCCTCCCCCCATCAAGTGGGTGTTCCCTGTTTCCCGGTCCGGCTCCTCCTCTAGGGTTTCCTAACTGACAGCCCTCCCTTGTGATGGCTGCCATGTTTCCCTAAGTGTGGTCCTGCTTTCAGGTTCCTCTCGATGCAGCCTTGGCCTGAGGTCCCCTTCCTCTTGCATCCACGTGTGTGTTTCAGAGGCAGCTGTCCTTCCCTACTTCCAGATCCTTGTAGGGCAGTTGGTGGAAGGTGGGAGGCACCCCAGTGTTGCCTCCAAGAAGCCTGTGCCAGTCACTGGGCTGCAAGGCTGAGGAAATTGTGTCTGTGTCGGCGGAAGCTCCTCAGCTCAGAGGTGCTGGTGCCTCCTGCCTGGTGGGAAGGCATGGGGAAGAGGCCCTCTGGCTCCTGTTTTCTTTGTCCTTGTGAGACCTGAGAACCTGTGTCATCTGTGCCTTTCATGTCTTTGTTTCAGACTCCCTGCGACGAGGACTGTGTACTGCATGAATGAGGCTGAGATAGTTGATGTTGCTCTGGGAATCCTGATTGAGGTAAAGTCAGCTGAGCCTCTTACTCATGACCAGAAACTCTCCATGGGCAGAAGCTAGACTAGGCCCTTGGTCACTGTCAGTAAGAGAGACACCCTCTGCTGCAGGCTTCGTCGTCTTCCTCCTGCCCCTTGCCTCACTCTTGTCTCGGCCCTGCTCCCCAGGCCTCTCCCCATGTGGGTGTGCACCCAGGGGGTGGGTCTTTGGCGCTAGACGCCTGGGAGGGCGTGTGTGTGTGAGGGAGAGCGACTGTGCACTAGTGTGGATGTGGACAGGATATGCAGTGTTTACCTCTTTGTGTTCTTGGAAAGTGTCCCAGTTGGGTAGATGACTTCTTAGCCATTGCCCCTCTCCTGAGCAGAGGCTGCTGAGCTTCCTGGCTTCTTGCAGTAATAATTGCAGTGCCTCAGAGTTGTACAGCACTCTATAGTTTCCCAGGTACCTTGAAAGTGTGTGTGTTATGTCATTTTAGCCTAGCAATAACCCTGTGATGTGGTTGTGTCAAGATGCTATTACAAGAAATCGAGCCTCCGGGACTTTTCCTAGCGCTAAGACGTGGGCCCACACCCAGGTTTTGTATCCTGGGCTCCTTCCATTCTGTCACCGGCCTTTCTAGACATGCTGCTTCCATTTGTTTCTTTTTCCTTTCCCCTCAACTAATCCTTATGTCTGCCTGCTTCTCTCCCAAGTGGGTCCTGGTTTCTTCAAGAGCTGAGAAGAGGGGGTCAGGGGCTGGAGTGGGGTGAAGAGAGGGTGGGTGCTCAGGATATGGGTGCATTGCCTGGCCTGCTCACATTGGCTTTGCTTCTGGATATATCCTATGTTACTGACAGACAGATCAGCATGTTAAGGAAATAAAACACGTTTGTTGAGCCTGCCGTTTCCTGTACCCACAGAGCCGCAAACAGGAAAAGCCCTGCGAGCAGCCGGCCCTGGCGGGCACTGATAACCCACAACCCTCCCCTCCCTGCTCTGTGTCGCCTCACACGAGTTCTGGGAGCAGCAGTGAGGAAGAGGACAGTGGGAAACAGGTACCAGCCCCAGGCCTCAGCCCTTCCCAGAGGCCGGGGAGTTCCAATTCCCCCTCCAGCAGGAGCCCCGAGGAAGAGGAGGAAGAGGAGGATGTGCTGAAATACGTCAGGGAGATCTTTTTCAGCTAGGGCATAAACACTGAACTTCCTGCTGAGAGCAGCTGAGCTTCCGCTAGTGCTGCTGGGCTGCTCGCCTGTGGTAATGGGGCTCTCTGTGCTCCCACCTTTGTGCCTTCCTGGGCCTGGCAGATTCACTCCAGGCCTTGGGGCTGCCATTCTGAGTATGCGGAAGCCATGGCTCAAAAGAGATCCCATTCGAATCCCTCTGTATGTACTGCGCCCTCTCCCAGCTCTGAGGCGCTGGAATCCCAACTGTCTGTGGTAGTCAGTCACTAGGTTCCAGGGAGAATGATGTCATATGCTGGTCCAACTGACTGGAACCAAAGAGACAATACTTTTCAAAGAAAGGGATTGCAGCCAGGCGCACTGGAATTGCTACAGTTTAGTCTGCATGATCTCTCCTAAAGGAGGAAGCCTGTTTAAAAAATAGTTTCCATCATGGTCAATCAATGAGCTCCCACCCCTCCAGCCAGCCTAGAAGGCAAACGAGCTACCCACAGTTCTCTGCCCTGTCTGGGAGCTTGAGGCCACAGTGTACAGACTGGTAAGCCCAACAGGCCTCCTCCCTCAAGCTGCTACCTTGCTTTCACCCGTACCTTGGTCCCCAGGCAGTTGCTATAAAGCAAGAAGGACAGCCCAGAAGAGCCACTGAAGACAAGAGATCACACCTGAGTCCATGTTTCCGCCTCTGTTTTCAGTGTGGCCTTGGACAGGCATAGATGAGTAAATCATTTGCCATACAGGTTTTCCAATACACAGGTGCTGGAAAATACACAAAATTTCCCAATGTGTAAGTTGTGCCAATGTCCTTTCCAGGTCCTGGTTGGAAAGTGGAGGGTGGCAGCATTTGTATGTGTACAACCGTCCAGTCCTGTTCACACTGATTTGGTGTCCTCCTGGGTCTCATCATGGGAGTGATTTGCCGGCAGATGCATCTGCTCTATCTGGCTTCAGGTCCAGGGAAGCTTTGAAGCAACCAAGGCTTTTCTTTGTGCCCCATGTGTCCTGTATTTGTCGAGTCACTCCGAGATCATTCCTGGGCCTGTGGGCGTGGAGTCCCAGTGGTGGCTCATGACAGCCCACTCACCATGGTGGGCCCAGTGGAAGCTCCCTGATCAGGGCCCCAGGGACACTGAGGTGCTCACTTTTTTAAAAAATGTCCTCATTTGTTGCCATAAATCTTTGCTAGGTTTCATTTGGCATTTTGCAAATCAGCCTGGACGTCTGGCCCCATGATGGGAATCACTCCCTCCTGAAGCTAGAGGAAGATTTGCTCAGATCCATTAATTAAAGCAGGAATTGTGACAATGAGCTGCATGGTTTTAGGGAGTCTTTGGAAGCCTTGGAAGTCCTGAAGGACAGACAACCCTACACTAAGAAGCCACAGGTGCTCCGGCTGCCCTTGGTGTCCCTTGGCCTCCTTGATGTGGGGGCCCCACCTCTGCAATGGGTTCCATCTGCTGGAGCTGGAGATCAGTATTAGCTATAAAATGAGATGGCTGAAAAGATGTGCCACATCTGAGCATGGCTGGAACTGAATCCTTGCAATCACATAAGCCTTTAGCAGCTCTCAAGCTCGCTCTTAGCCCTCTCAGCCCTCAGAGGGAACAGAACTGTGGCCATAAGCAAGAGGATGAGTAAGCCCTGGGCGCTGCCCAGAGCTAGAAACCCAGGCCCCAGGAGGGAGAGCCTGACCCACTTCCACACATAGGAGAGGAAGAGGCCCAGGCCGCCAGCCAGTAGCACGGAGGATGCACCCAGGAAGCCCACTGCCAGCCGCCACTCTCCCTCGTCACTGTTGCACCGGGCTAGGAGGAGAGGCAGGGGCACAAAGAGGGTGAGGACCAGGGCCCCGTACACACCAAGCCTGGCCAGGGCCAGGCCAACCCGAGGCACCCCCAGGGCCTCCAGCTCAGGGAACTGGTGACACTGTAGGGTGCCGGTGTCCTCATTCCACAAGCAGAAGTTGTAGAAGCCAATTCTCAGGTTGGGCAGGTCAGTGAGGTTGCCAGCCTTCCAGAGGAGAGCGTAGAACATCAGGGAGATGACCACAACCGTGAGGACCATGATGCTCACGAACAGGAGGTCAGCCCACCGAGGCCTTGGGCTGGCCATCTCTCCTGCCCTCTGCAGGGGGACCTGTGGGGAAGTCAGCCGTCAGTCCAGCTCTCCCTCGCTTCCTCCCTGTGTCCTCACAAGCTCATGTTCTCCCTTTGGCATTTCTTACAAACCCATGGCAACCTTCCCTCCTACCCTGCCCTCTGCCAAAGGCCAGAAATCTGAGGTAACCTCCTGCCAGGATCCATTTGCTAGTAAGTCATTAGCTGCCCTCTGATTTGAGGTCAGGAGGAAAAGTCTCCCAGGCGGCTTTGAAAGCGTAAAACATCTTAAACTGAGCGAAGTGCCCTTTGGCCAAAGGCTTTGCTCCAGGATACAAGCCACTGGAAGCATTAGTGAGGGGATTTCTCGGATCTTTTTTGAAGCTGGGTTTTGGCTGAGGTGAAGGGCAAGGCCCACCCTTACTGGGGACCTGAAGATGGAGGAAGGTATTGGTTTTTACTACAGCTGCCAAGACAGCCATCTGGGGGAGCTGCAAGAACTACCCATTTCTGGGCCACAGATCGATCAAAGCCCAACTTTTGTGCTTAGGGCTGGGCAGTGGTGTTTCTGAAGCTCTGCAGTTTGTTCAAAGCTGAGCCTGGGTTGAGGACCACTGCCACAACCACTCTGATTTTGCCTGCTGTGTGCTGGGAACTCATTACTGGGCCAAGACAAGACATTACCTGGTGATGAAATCTCATTATATGTTCATGATTTTAAAAACTAATACATTTTTTTCTGACAATGGTAATATATGTTAATTATAGAAAACAATAGAGGAATTTTTTTTTTTTTTTTTGAGATGGAGTCTCACTCTGTCACCGAGGCTGGAGTGCAGTGGTGCGATCTCGGCTCGCTGCAACCTCCACCTCCCAGGTTCAAGCGATTCTCCTGCCTCAGCCTCTGGAGTACCTGGGACTATGGGCACCTGCTGTCATGCCTGGTTAATTTTTGTGTTTTGGTAGAGATGGGTTTCGCCACGTTGGACAGGCTGGTCTCAAACTCCTGACCTCAAATGATTCACCCACCTTGGCCTCCCAAAGTGCTGGGATTACAGGCTTTTGCAAAAACAACAACAAGAACAAAAACCTTTTATCCCACCATACACATCATAAAACCACTGTTAATATTCTACCAATATTTTCTTCCTGTGCTGATGTATTTTTACATAATCATGCTGTTGAACATAATGTTTTTCACTAGATTTAGTAAACATTTTTCAGCGTTATTAAATATTCTTCAAAAACATGATCAATGGCTGCATGATAGTTCACATGGAATCATCCATTACACTACCATTAGACAAATTGTTTCCACTTTACACCATTGTAAGTGATGGTCAGTGAAGATGCTCGTGTGAATCTTGTTTGGAATCTGATTTTTTTCTCAGGTGAGCTACCTATAAGTGCACTTGTTGGGTAGAAATATCTTTTAGTGATCTTGCTGAATATTGCCTAACTAGCCTACAGAAAACTTGCTATCATAGTTCGTCTAGTTGTATATAAAAGCGCCCACTTTGTTATACTCTTTTAAAACATTATTTTCACTGCTTTTTAAATCAGAAGGGCTTTGTCCAGTTGGCCTCTGAAACAGTGGTCTGTACACTGTACCTTTACATATGTGTATTTTCCAAAATGGGATAAGCTTTGGCTGATATGGTTTGGCTGTGTCCCCACCCAAATCTCATTTTGAATTATAGCTCCCATAATGCCCACATCATGGGAGGGACCCAGTAGGAGTTAATTGGATCATGGAGTGGGGTGGTTTCCCCATATTGTACTCATGGTAGTAAGTCTCATGATATCTGATAGTTTTATAAAGGGCAGTTCCCCCGCACATGTTGTCTTGCCTGCTGCCATGTAAGATGTGCTTTTGCTCATCCTTTGCCTTCCACCATGATTGTGAGGCCTCCCCAGCCATGTGGAACTGTGAGTCCATTAAACCTCTTTTTCTTTATAAATTACTCAGTCTCAGGTATCTCTTCATAGCAGCATAAAAATGGACTAATACAACAGCATTCACACCTGGGAGTGACTAGGAACACAGAGCTTCAGACTTTGTGAGGCACAAGATACTGGGGCCATGTTACCAAGTGGCCTGGAAGCCCTGAGAAGGAGTCCCAGGTGGTGTTCAGCAGCAAAGTGAGTGGTGGCCCTGGGGAAGGACCCAGAGGCTACACAGCCCTGATGATCAGCTTCTTAGGGGACCCCTCTGGAGGAACAGGCCCCTCCTCTTCCACAGAGGTGACTGGAAGGTCTGTCTCATTCCATACACTGCATTTGTTCTGTGAGAACAGAAAGGGACCAGTGGGGAAAAAACAACATGGAACAAGCTGAGAGAGAGGGTGGTTCCATTCAAAGGACCTGGTGTGTGCCAAAAATGAGAATAAAGATTGACCAGCAACTCCTTTGGCAGAGACCTGGGCACACTGGCCAGCAGAGAGCTGGGGCCTTGGGAGTACAGCAAGGGCAGGGTCCACACTGCCACCACCTCCCTTTGGATGCCACTGCTCCGGGCTCAGCAGCGCTGGGCCATCTGTTCAGTTCTGCCCAGGTCTGCCTGTGGCTTCTGCTCCAGAGGAGCTGGGTGGGGACAGTTGGAGTGGAGGAGTGAGGGCTGTCCCGGGAGAGGCTCGGGCTGCCGCCTCCGGTGGCACTGTCTCTCAAAGGCTCTGGAGGTCCTGGGGCCAAGGACCTGAAGACCCAGGTTTGAATGTAGTTGAGAGATTCCTGGAGCAATGATGCTTGTTACAGAAGGATTTATTGGGAATTGAAAAGATGGCTTTAGTCTGCACATTAGCAGCCTGGGATGATAAGGAGCTTTAACCATTTGAGTCTGTGGTATGGGAAAAATTGCCAATAGGAACATATTTTGTATGGTTTTGCTTATTTAGCAAATGGTGTAAAAGCCTATATTGGTGCTTTTAATGGGTTTGGGTATTTTAGGGTGTGCATGGAGTTCCAGGACTTCTCCGATTTACACCTACCGTTGTGCTGTGGAAAAGGTTTGACTTGCTCCATTGTTCAGGACCAACTGGGAAGAGACTTGGGGATGCCTTTGTTTAAACACTCCCTCTCACTTTTCCTATTTGAATTGTTACTCTGGGATTCCCCCCCCCCCCAAAAAAAAATTATGAAACATTTTGCCTTGAAAACAGAGCTCCCTTTTTAAAAATTAATGTAGCTCCTCAGAGGGGAGATTGCATCAGCCACCTCGTGGCAGCTCCTGCCAGGCGCCAGGAGCCTTTGTTTTGACTTCCTCATTTTTCTGTCAACTGACCTTTTGGTGGTTTTAAATGTAGAGCAAAACAAGATAAAACAAGCGAAGAAGCCCAGGACCAGGCATGTGACGAAGGTGGTGGGCCCTCACCTTTTGGCAGTCCCAGCTCCTATGAGGCTCTCCACTAACTGGTGCGACTTGCAACTTGAACTTGTAATTCTCTGGTGAGGCCCAGCTTCCACTCTTGCCTTGTGCAGTCTAGCACCTGCTGGGCTGCTCAGGCTGTGTATTAATACATTCCCATCTGCCCATCCTCAGCTACTCCCCAGCTCCTAAAGTTCTACCCTACTTTCTCTTTATCTAAATCTGATCCATGCAGCATGGGCATTCATTCCTGGGCTCCTTCAGCCCACACTCTGGTTTAGCCATAAATTGGGATTTACTCTCCAGCCCAATGTCATGTCTCAGAGGAACAATCTTCATCTGTTTTGCTATTTTGATAAGCAGGGGCTCATTTTTTTTTTAATTTTTATTTTTAAATGAGTAAATGAAATTGCTACATAGTCTCCCTGAATTCTTTCATGTAGGAATCTTGGTTACACATCTTAGGACAGCAGAGCTGCTTGAGTGAGGGCTGTGTTTAATGTCACATGCATGCCCAGCACAGTGCTGGCGTGGCCTATCCATGCCTTCCATTGGAACTATGGACAGACTTCAGGAACTTGTGTATGGAGAGGGTGGAGGTTAGTGCTCTCTTTCCCTAAACGTTTTTGCAGTGGCAGCATATAGTTCTTTGGTTGGAAATCTCATGACACTCTTCTTCTCTACTTCTCCATGGGCCTACCCTGGTTTTGGTTTTTGTTTTTCTTTTCTTAAACAATCCTTTATCACAATGAACTTTTAAACTCCCTTTAATGATTAGCCAGTGTTTCCTTCAGAGTGCGAAGGGGAGACTGCTGAGTCACTGTGGCTATTTTTAGATGAACTTTTTCCTGTTTATAAAATAACATGCTGATTGCAGGAAACTAGAAAATACATGAAAGTGCAAAGAAAAGACTAAAATTCATCTGTGACTTCACGTTGTAGAAATAACCACTCTGAACAGCACACTTCTTTTATAGTGTTGTTTTACACTGTTGGGATTACGTATATGTGTTTGTATCCCACTTCGTGAACATCATTCTACTTGAACTAGAAAGTTTCCTAAACACTATTTTAAGGGCTGCATATAACTGTATCATAATTTATAGTGTATACACATGATGCTTTGTAATGTTATTTTGTAATGTTATGAATGCTATGGTGAATATGTTGTGAATCAATTTATCCTTCCACCAGCAGTTTAAGAGAGCGTATGTCTCATCTCATCCTCCCCAGTATTGCATATTCTTGAGTCTTTTATTCTTTGATAATAACAAATGATGAATCAGTGATAGTTTTTCTTCGTATGAGTCAAGTTTAACGTTTTCAAGTGTTTTTTGACCACCTGTATTTCTTTTGTGAAGTGCTGTCAGTTCTTTTGCTATTTTAAAAATCATTTTGAGTTTCAGTTTTTGTTTGTTGGTCTACATGAGCCCTTTAAAAATAAAGGCTGTTAGCCTTTTGCCATTGTAATTGTGTCAGTAAAGTAAAATCTTTTTCTGCACTAGATCCTCTGGACCCAGACAGATTTAGACTCCAGGTCAGCATGTAACTTGACCACTGTCACTTGAGAGTCACAGCCTGAGCAGGGCCTTAGGAGGGAGATGATTTCTGCTTAAAGGCGACACAAATTCGTAGTTAGGGAAACAGAAGGAAAGCATTCTCAGGAGATTAGTTTA